AAAACCAGTTAGGATCAAGAACACAATTCCAGCAGCAGATACGTAAACTTTTTCAACTACAAAAATTGAGATTTGTTTGGGTTAGTCGTTCGTCCAATAAGCGACCAGATGACGAGAGCGCTTTCAAGGAGGATATTGCTTTTTAAAGTAGAGGGGAGGGGGGTGGGGGATACATATATCACTGGTCGCCATTTTGGAGGGGGTACACATATCACTAGTGATATGTGTGCGGGGATACACATATCACGGGGATACACATATCACGGGGATACACATATCACTGTGACCGCCGCCCCAGACTCCCTAAAATGCGGTCATGAAACACTTCAAGCGCGACTTTAAAAGGGTATAGAAAATCGAGGATTCAACCAAATTCAAAAATTTCTTCGCCCAAATGCTTCAAATAAAGTCTAGATTCGTTTTAGCGAAAAACAAAATTTGGGGTTAGGTGCACTTTAAATACCTATTGATATAGTTCATTTAGAGCCTTTCTCGAACTCTTGTTACATGTAACTGTAAGTTGTGGATATGTTGCAAGAGTGGTGGACTTAAATGTACATACACATAATTTGAAGAACCTGAATTTGAATGCACAGATTTATAGCTAGCTACATTAAGCATTGGATATGTGAACAATTACACAGTGTATTGATCCTTGTTTTGACTCGTTAGTTAGTGTCTCAGTCTAAGCAGCTGCACTGAAATCAATGTTGACATGAGCACATAAAGAGATGTTAAAATTTTTGTTACCTATAAAGGTTTGGGTACCTTTCTTTGCTTAAAGATCCTTTAGTAACATATGCACAGCTAGCTATTTGATCTTGACTGCTGGGGACCACCCTCTTAGTGCTATAATTTAGGACAATGGTGTTCTACATGTGGATGTCAGATAAAAAGATCTTTTATTGACCAGCCTCTTTGGTCAAGATTGCTGGATATTTTGCCTTGAAGTCTTGTTAGCTTTTTTATGGACCTGAAATACTTGACTCATCTCAGTCAATAACATGCAAAAAACTTTGCCGATATCCAGCCTTCTTGACCTCACACTTGTTTAACTGATAGTTTATGAATCCCCTGATATTCGTTATTGAACCAGATGTATATTATTATACTGTATTACTAAATGATCTAAAGTCATCCACTCTCACAACATTTACGAAACGAACATTCATTGTTCCAGCTAGTTTATAAACTGTAACATTCCTTAGGTCTGTGAATTCTCAGCAGGCAATTCCAAATTATGTGAATCATCCTGGTCATCAATTACTTCAGAGAAAGAACCCCAGTTCTCCAAATCACAAATGTTAAGCAAAAGATTCAGTGATGAATCATCCCGCAATTGTCCCCATTCAGACAGGATAGAATCATGTTCATGAATACATGTAGCTTCATCCTCTACAGCTGGAAGTTCTGTAGTTGTGTCAATGTCTCCAAAAATGTCACTAAGTATACAAATAATGGCAACAGCATACTTCTTTCGCCAAATTTCAACACATCCTTTAAGCATACACATCCTTTAAGCTGAAAATCAAATGGCAATTTCGTACAATTTGATTGATGTGAAAGGAGTGAAACTCAAGTAAAGCATTCGGGCATTTAACCATTGAGTCAACATCAACCTGATTGGATAACTCTTTGTGGTAATCTAGGAGCTTATTTTGCAACATTTCCCTTGATGCAGTAGAAAACACTCTTGTCTCTCTGCTTGTATCACTGACAGACTCACCAATGGCTAATTCTGGAATGTTGTCAGTGTCTTTGTGGGGGGTCCATAAATCAGGACAGGTGCCACTTCCACACTTGCACATTTCGGCACAGATGTCACAACAAGTGTGTTGATGAACACTGGACTGGGCAAGGGTTAGCACTATCATGATCAAACCCAAAATGGTTAATCAGTACCCTTCGGCAACATTCACTGGTACTTACATAATGTTTCATGTCTTTATCACAGTGTGCAGACAGCAAACCATTGTGTAAAAGCACACAAGTGCTTGGCAGCCCATCTCTCCGAGCACTTCCACACTCCTGAACATACATCTCCATTGATTTGGAGCAGCCAAAATGTATTACTTGTCTCACTTTTTTACAATTGACTCCCATTCCAAATGAAATTGTTGAAATGAGTATTCGAATGTGTCCCTCATCACAGGCCATATTGTCAACAATGTGCTCTTTTACTCGTGATGAGGTACAAGCATGGTACATCTCAACAATTCTATTTGGCTGTTTGGTAGTTCCTTGAAAGATGCCATGTCTAAGGAAAACTTCAAACACGTGAAATAAAACGGAACACTGTTTCTTTGTCTGACAGTAAATCAAAGTTCTTGGTGTATTTCCACGCATAGTTTTCAATTCTTCAATTAGAGTAGAAAATGAAGCCTCAAGTGGTTCATTTTTGTCAAGATACTGTGCACAGTACTTTATGTTTGGACAGTCTGGACTTTGTTCAATAAACTTAATATCCTCTTTTGACAAATGAAGGGTATTTAATATTTCCCCCTTTGTAGCCTTGGTTGCAGTGGCCATCAATATCACCAACCTGCTTGCTGTTGGAATCAGGGACCTGAGTTCCCCCAGGCATCCATACCATTTCCTAAATGGCACCTTTTTCGACCCAGACAACCCCCTGTTATTAAAAAAAAAGCAAAATTTCAATAGATTACATGTGACACTAGTGATTATGTCCCTATTCTTTAATCCATCAGCTATCAGAATAATCTCATTTGTACAACCAAATCGATAGGCTTGCCTAATGAAGGTGTCAATCCGATCTTAATATGATCCATTCAATCAAGCAAATACTCCTTTCAAAATGAATGTAAACAAAGCGAGCTGAATTTAGCTCGTCCCAATCCTCCCAAAATTTGGAAATTTTTGCATTATAAGGTTACTAATAAGTAAACAAATTACCCACTGAAATAATGTAAGCTTATTTCTATAGCAGGATGGTCCAAACGAACTCAACCTTGATTAAATGACAGCATTAAGCTTATATTGGAAAAGCTTACATACCATTGTGCAATACAGTGGGCCTCGTCAATAGCAACTCCGATCAACATCTCCTTGAAACTTTGACAATCAAAAATACTTCTCCAAGATTCAGTTGAGAGCAAGCACTTTGGAGAGCCATAAACAAGCACATAATTGCCGTTCATAACCTGCTGGATTATTTCGACGTCCTCTTTGTCAGTAATCGTGATCACTGGCACTCCCGTGTCGTTTAGATGTCGAATCTGGTCTTCCATAAGCAATCGCAATGGCAATATTACAACAAGAACACTGGAACCACAAGGCTTTTCGAACAGAGCATCCGCAGCAATTGGAAGGCACTGGAAAATCAAAGATTTACCATAGCCTGTCGGCAAATTTAAATTTAATCAAAAATATTTTGACCTCCAAGAAATTCGCAAAGCGAATTTTCCCGTTCAGGTAGAAGATAATCGACTTCACACTGCTCTCTCACGGCTTTTTGCCAACTTTGTTCTGTAATTGCAGACATGTTATTTCCAACTCGAAGTAGATTTGACGTTTAATAAAGTAGAAATGGACAAAAGTACTTGGGAAACCCACACAAATTATTTTTAGCATTACGTAATAGTGGCGTGATGGCTTTTGCAAGAATTATCCAATCAGAAAGTGTGTAAGAAACAAGCCAATCAAAAATGGATGCACAAACTACAAGCTTTTGGGGGCCGTTGCTCAGACGGACTATACCGGCAGTTTAGATTGTCTGCAACGCAGGCTAGCAGAAATCCAGCATGCAAAAATACTGTTCACTTTTAAAACCTGAAATTTGCTAATAAAGGCAACCAAATGAAAGAAACCTGACAGGAAGTTCCATAACAATAAATTTTCATTCAAGATGAGGCAAAAAAACTTATCTAAAAGCATAAAAGTGTTCAAAATTTTGCAGACGTGCTTCGCTGCATGACTGCGTGTTCAAATTAATTCTTCACGCTAAAGTGAAAGCTTGAGATTTTGCCAACGAGTTTTGCAGTTATTTTATCGGCTGTGGCTTTACCAATTGTTCTAAAAATTGAATTCAACTTCGAAGTAATACTGTACATTAGCATTTTTGTTTTCTTAAGTCCAGGAAGCTGCTTTTCCTAGTATCCTCTAGCATGGTACAGATCATGTACACTGATTGACTGATTTTTGACAACTCACTCAGTGGGGTTTCTTGGGGGCATCATTCAGCATTCTAAGTGATGCAGGCAGGCTCTATTTCCCTTTTTCCTTTCCTACTTTCTTTCCCTGTGAAGAGCCCACTCACAGGCTATAATGATAGTTCTGTATAAATAGCTGCTACAAGAAAAGTTGTCCCAGAAAAGAGTACATGCAAAAGATGATGGGTGATCATAGTTTTCCATCACCTTTTTAAAAATCAAGGTGTTTCACTGCAATAGGAAGGTTGAAACACTGCGAACTTTGATCAACTAATGAGAAAATGTGACTAATTATCATACCATTTGTTATTGCCATGTCTGCTAATTTCCACTTTGATTTAATGGACCTAAATTACGGAATGAACTTGATGGAAGATTCAAGTGTTGTACTTCTAATCAATTTAAAAAAGAACTAACTTTGCATTTCATTAGTCTCTATTAATCTTTACTGATATTTTGATAGTNGGTCACCCAACTAGTTTAGCTTTTTAGTTATTTTGGGTGTCCCACTACTGTATGTACTGTACTGTTTATTTATATATTTATAATTATAATCTTGTAAACTCTTTTAGTTGTTTACAGTAGTAGAAATAAATAAACTGTTGTTGTTGAATTTGGAGAGTACAAACTTAAGACAGATTTAAAATACCACAACAATCTTAATTTAGTATCACCGCCACCTTTTTGGTTTAAAGAGCTTCCTAAGCCAATTTGCTAAAATACAGAAACCAACTATTGTTACAAGGGAGAATTCTAGTTAGTTCCCTGAGCATCAGTGTGCAATATGAACTCCAAAGATGGACTGCTCATGAATTCATTTTGGTGAATTCTCTTTCAAACCACTGTTCAAAAGAAAACAGTTATGTGAAAGGTGAATTGATTAATATCACACGAGTGTGGAACAAACAAAAAGAAATCTGAGCACCCAACAGCAATTGAACCCATGACCTCCCAAACACCAGACAGATGCTCTATCCACTGAGCTACAAGAACTCATGGAGAGCAAGTTCATTTACCATCTTTATTCACTTATCAGAAAACAGTCAGTCACTAAGTATGATTGAAATTCTTTTTCTGAAAAGTTTTTACTGTAAAAGAGCTATAGTTTTATTAATGATAAATAATTTCTTGAACTACCGGGTTCAGTTGCTATTGAGGAATACTTTTCTCATTCCTTTTCTATTTGCAAGTTTACAGACTACAATATTTCAAGCTTGGTCCAGAAATTTGCAAAAAGGAACCAGCCAGTCCTTTCCCAATGTGGACCTAATTATGCATTCATTCAGTAACACACAGTATGAATATATTCATGTCCTGATGAACAAATTTGACAAACAATAACACACACAAACCATTCAAATAATATATAAAGTTTACCTTTTATCTTCCCATTGACAATGCATTGGGTCACGTACACAGATGAATGGCTGAAACAAAAACATTTCAGTTTCTGATAATTTCTTTAAAGAAACAATAAGTTGCCAAAATGAGTTCAAATTGCTTTTCTATCTCAGCTCCCACTATATCTTGCTTGCAAAATATTACTTCAAAGAATCTCAAAACTGAGAGACTGTTGAGATGCTCTGATCTGTCAACCTTGCTGAACAATTAACAATTATTGGACGAGGTTGAGCAAAATAATTTATTGTGATTTGTAAGTGGCGAGCAGATCAATTATTTGCCAAAGCCGAAGGCTGAGGCAAATAACTGATCTGCAGGACACTGACAAATCACAATATTTTGCAATAACTAAGTTCGATAATCATTTTATCATTCAATCACCAGGTTTGTTTTCAAATTTACATCACTCTCTGACAGCTCAGGAAAGCAATCTACCATCTTCCACACAAGAGCTTGGTTACAATTACGCATGAGCAAAATATCATATATCATATGCAGCAAAGCACATTTACACAGAACTACAAATGAGCAGACCATTATTTGTAGCCAGTTATTTGCAGGTCATGTGGTGGGCTCTCGGCCAATGAAAAGTAAGAAAAAACTGCATCAAATGATAATAGTTTAAATTAAAAGACATCAAAACTGTCAGTGTGTGTTGTAGATTGTGGCAATGTTTGGCTTACTAAACAAGTCTATTTTATTCAGCCATGTAAGAAGCCAATAATATTATCTACTGAAATCCACTCTTTAGTACATTGGATGTACATAGCCATTGGCAAATGAGTGACTCTAGCTTTTACTAACACTAAAAGTATCACCTCGTTTATTCAACAATAATTTGTTGAGTGAATAAGGTGTCTATAATAATTATTATTAGTCAGAAAGCTTAATAGCTAGCACGGGTGGGGAATGGGTTGCGCCAAACTAAGACAACTATCAAAGTTGAAAGAAACTAAAAGCGAGATGTGTAATATTGTTGTAGCATAATTCACTCGCCAATCTATCAAACAAACGAACAAACAAAATTATGTTTGTGAGACTTCACAAAGACAAGAAGCTGAAGCCATTTTCAATTTTCAAAGATCAACCAGCTTCTGCTGCCATTTATCGATCTTTGTAGCCAATCATATTGTATATTTACCTGATCTATAGCTGCTGATCAATAGTTTATGCTAGGGGATTATTCCAGAAAAAACCCACACCTCCCCGACAGAAGGCTTTCTGGAAATTCTCTTGGGAGGAGGGGAGGGTCAAAGGCTTTGGAAATCCAGGCAGAAGAGGTGTTCAACCCAAAAAAATCTTTTTGCATTTATCAGGGGGTGGGGGCCGGGGGAAGTGGATTTTTTTTTGGAACAACCCAATATCAAATACCTGGCACATTTATTGGTGAGCTAGCAAAATACACAACACAGTATTATTATTATTATTATTATTATTATTATTATTATTATTATTATTACTATTATAAATCAGCTAGCAATGTTTCATACTTACATCATCATAGTTGTAACACATAGATTTTGTGACATTTTTTTCAAATACCTATTAATAGAAGAATACAAAATTAAAATAATTAACAGCAGCTTCGTCTAAATATCAACTAGACTTGGGAATAGCAAAAAAAATTGAATTTCTTAAAACTCGCCCAAAATGAAGTACCGTACTTAACAGGCACTAGTGACAAAAATATTGTTTAAGTTTGGTGAATCCTTAATTATTTTTGTACACAATTTTTTCTTTTTGATGCCCCAAATCAGCCAAAAACAATAAAAAATGAGTGGCATACTCAGAGGCACGTAAACTGAAAAGTAAAAATTGTTATTTCAAACTGTTTGCATGCCAAATTTGTACTTCCTTTGTTTATATTTAGAGCCAAATAGATCACAATTATATTAGAAATAAAATATTTCAAGAATTTTGAAAGCTAATGACCCAAGATAGCTAAAAGAGGTCTACATTTTACCCATTTACAAATGCTTAAAAGCATTCTGGAACACAGCTTTTCCCAAAACAACTAGTTTGGTCTGAAAGAGTATTGTTTCTTGTTCAAATAACTGAAAAAAATTTTTTGGGTAAATAATAGCGCGAGCCCTGAGATAGCGAACTAAATGCAGCACTACTTCCTTAAAAAATAGACCTTTGACCCAAGCGTAATGAAATTGATTACTGCAAGGAAAGCAAACGCTTCGTTATTTTGAAAGATTATCTCTCCGAAACCATTATTGCAAGAAACTTTTCTAAGATATGAAATCTTACAGGGTCAAAGAAAGAGCTACATGTAAAAGGGTCAAAGAAGGAGCTACATGTAAAAGTCACATTTTGGCACAATAACATGGTATTATTAGTGTGTTGATATATAGAAAATATTTGCCTAGCATTATGAGGTGGCTGAGGGTCAAACGGTGAGTACAGGGACGAGTAATTCCAAATAATACCTCTGGCTCAGAGAGAAGTAAACCCGCATTACTTATGGTAAAATACCAACTTTGGAACTTACCCCAAAAAGAAGATGCTTAAGGGCAGGTAATAAACAAGTGACATATGTTTTGACTATCAGAGGGGCAGAAAAGGCAGGATGGGGAGGCAACCTTTTTCATTTTGTATAATATGTACTGTTCGTGGCTAAAAAGTTGTTAAAAATTTTTGTGCTGGAAAATTGCCAATTTCACTTCTTTTGTGGCTTTGAACGACAGAAGATAAACTTTCTTTAGATTGTCTTTTGCAATAGTGTATGATAAGAGTTTTTTTTCTGAAGTGGGAGGAGGAAGATTTTCAAGGGTTAACAGTTTGTCATATAACATCTTGCATGTTACAGCACAGATCGGCAGCGGGGGTGTAGTAGAGTCGCTAGAATTAATGTGAAGGAGCTTCTTCCAACTTTAAGGGATCACGGATGTAAGACCATGATATTGTAAAAAGTTGCAATTTAGCATGTATTTATTGTGCAAGGAAAGGAAAGGCAGGAAGCAATTTTCATGCTCATCAAAAAGGTCTGAAATTTCCTTTATTCCTGCTCGGTGCCAATGAGGCAGATATAACATTTTCTTGTCAATCATAATGAATTTGTTGTTCCAGATTGTCTGAGACAGTATCTTGGTCTTGCTATGAGGTGTCGTAGACACGATTTCTTGCCAATGATGAATAAATAATTTGTAAAATTCTGGAAGATGGCCATTGAGATCAAGAAAGTTGTAGTCATAATTACATTGAAAGAGCTCAGTGCCGCCAACAGTAGAGAGAGACAATTTTGAAATTTTATACTTCCACGGTGTGTATGAGTCAGCCAGAGCACAGCTGTTTTACCCAAGTTAGTTTCAAGGCCTTATCGAAAAGAACAAAATCTTTCATGCCGAGACCGCCATCTGATTTCTTCTTGATGAGGGTTGTCTTTTTTTTTATTTTCATGGTGGGTTTTGCTTCCTGATAAAATCGCACACTATTTTACTGACCTCTGTTGCAAAGTTTTTTGGAGTCTCCATAATGCTGGAGATGAATACAAGTTTGGAGAGGGCTAATGTTTTAACAATATTTATTCTACCGTATATAGACAAGTCTCTTCGGGACCAGACACTTAAGGTTTTCTTTAGGGATCGTAATTATTTTTGAAAGAAATGTTACTTATGACACAATTCAATATTGTAAGCAAAATGCACCTCAAGCGCGTAAACAGGATGATTGCTAATTTGGAGGTTGCAAATAGCGTCTTTCCTATGGCTCTTGGAGCCAAGCCATAGCATTTCTGATTTTGCCTGATTTATTATTAGGCCAGTGATCCGTGTTGAAATGCATAATTAAAACTTTCCACCATGAATTTGCTGACAGCATTCCAAAAATAGCAATAGAACTCTGAAGTGAGGCCATCTGTAACTGGTGTTTTATTGCTTTCCATTGTCATAAGCGCTTGTTTACATTTGTCGATTGCTGGTTTTCAGTGTCATGCTATTCAAAATAGATCAAAATGAAAATCAAAACCGTTCAAAGGATTAAGTCCAGAATCTGGGAAATGAAAGAAGGTAAATATGCAAAGACTTTCGCCAAGATTCTGGTCACAGCAATTTTTCTTATGCAAGATATGTGGAGAAATTTTTTTACCAAATTTATAGAGATTTGTATCGAGATGCCATGCTGGTGCCCATCCGTAGGGGCACCAACATGGCGGCCGGAAACCAAAAGAAACATCTGTCACGGAGTTTTGCTACAAAAACGTAAATTTATCCCTCAAGGAACTCTAGAACATTAAAATAATACTTTTTCTAAGACATGAACTGTTCAGATAGCCAAATTGCCAGAAATAAGTCACTTTTTTAACCATCATGAGAGCTCTCTAGGCCGTCATGTAAATACCACGTTACGCAAAAGCTTAGAAATTCAAGCGCAGTGTATCACAAAACCAAGAGCCCATTCAGAGCAAAAATTTGTTTGAATATTAGCTTTCAGCTGCTCTTCTACATCATTAAAGTAAAATCTCAGGAACATCAATAGTTTTGTAGTTTCAATTTTAGTGATGTCATGTGAAAACCAGCTATAGACATAACTTAAGTCTGCACGCGAGCCAAGTGGCCCATCAGGCCGGAGCTTATCCTGGTTTCTGTAGCATGAAGCGACTAGGAGTATTTCTACTCCTCCCTGGATGGGATGCTAGTCCATCGCAGGGTTACTCCCAGCATTAAGTTCGCTGGTACCCATTTATACACCTGGGTGGAGAGAGGCACTGTGAGAGTAGTGTCTTGCTCAAGAACACAACACAATGTCCCCGGCCAGGGCTCAAACCCGGACCGCTCGATCCGGAGACGAGTGCACTAACCATGAGGCCACCGTGCCTCCCACAGCTATAGACATAATACCTTTGCAAATTTTTGCAGTTTCTTTTGATAATACATTTTCTGTATTAAAGAATTCGATAAACTCCAAGCAATCCAGATTCATGCTTTTTTGATGTATATATCTGTTTAAAAAACCGCTCTTCCTCTTCAAGAATCTCTTTCAGGTCGCTTTATTTTGCATGATCATCATCTCATTGACTTTTAAGGACATTATATGTTTAATCCTCTTGTTTGTTTTTTATAAATTGTAGAAATTACACTTGCTGTTTTTCTTGCCACATTCATACCAGCGTGCTCTGTTATGTATAATTGTGCCACGTGTCTTGACGCTTGCTATTTTTGAAAGCTTGGTTTTTATTTTTTCTAATTCACTCCTTAGGGAATCACTGTACACTGTCTGGAGCTTGCACCGCAGTTTGATCATCTCTGACAAAAGGGTATACTCCTCATCACGCTTGCTTTTTGCTTTTTCTTTGAAAAATTCTATTGTAAATTCTCTGATATTTTCCATTTTAATCATTCCCCAGAACAAACCCTTGTCCTCAGTTCCCTGATGCTTTTTGGCAAACTCTGGAAATAAGAAATTCAATAATTCTACATATTTCATGTCCAACAACAACGACTTGTTAAATTTCCAGAAGTCTGACCCACGAGGGGGTTTGTGTTTGGAGAAAGATATAGAGAGTACGACTGCAGAGTGGTCAGAATACATATTTGGAATTATTTTGCTCTCACAAATTACTCGGTTGATTTGAAACGAAGAGGTGATCTACTCTACATTGTATTTTAATTCAGGGGTTCACCCACATAGGGCCAAATGAGTCTGGGTTTTTGTAGCGCCATGTATCAAGCAGATTATGTATTTTAATCAAAGCCTTGAATTCAATAGTAGATGCTTTTCTAATGTCAACTGGTTTGCCACCTCTTTTGTCTAAAGTGCCAATTATGCAATTAATATTGCCCCCTAACCCAAGATTTTCATTACCATATTTGCTGAGGAGATTATTTGAAAGCCCCTTTAGGAATACAACTTGCTGGTTTGGATTGTTTGGTGTATTAACATTTACCAGTACAACTTTTGTATTATCAATAACAATCTCTACTAAAATATTTCTCCTGTGACCATCTGAGGTAATTTTTTCATTGTTCACGTCAAGCCGTGGTTTAAAAAGAATCATAACTCCTCTGCTATGAGACGATCCATGGCTAGATACGATTTTGCCTCCCCAGTCCATCTCCCATCTTCCGATAGTATGGAGCAAGGAATAAGTTTCCTGTAAAAAAATTATGTCCGATTTTTGCTGATGTAGCCAGTGAACACCTGTCTTTGCTTTCTAGAACCATTTAACCCTCTTACATTAAGAGATATAATTTTATAAATTTAGATTCTCTAGAGAAGGAAGTCACCATATTCCAGAAAAAAATAATAGCACTTGTTTATACTGAACTCACTGTGCAGCGGGATATCATAACTTAGTATTAATTTTCTTTTGTTGACTGAGTTAAAGTTAGATAGTTAAATACATTTGAACATACTTACAACAGAAATACAACAACACACACAACACAAGCTACTCACTACTTCAGACTTACCTATGCTTTTGTGTGGCGTTTACTGACTGGGTCAAAATTGGCGTACTAGCGGCAGCAATAATTAAGCAATAGACCCTTTTCATAAATGGCTGCCAATTTAAAATTATTTTGTTTTCATTTAAATTA